CAAAGGAGGCGGAGGGGCGCTGGGGTATAAGATGAAACCCTATCTTTTAATTAAAAAGATAGGGGGTCGTCTTATACGCCCAGTCGCCCTATACGCCGGAAAATACGGTATAGTTTACACAATGCTTGGCACTATACTGCCTTTCATTAGCCAGTGATTGTTTCTCTTTAAGCAAACTTTTTAAGACTAAGATTACATAATATAAGAAAACTGAATGTCTTATACACTGGCATTAACTTTAATATGGTTGGTGTACAGACGATATTTGTGAGGATTAGAGTACTATCTAGAGTAAACAAACCTGTTACATACTAGTCTATTGACTATTTTTAAAAAGAGAAAGGAATGGGTGGGGGGCAACTTAAGGTGGTCTGCTTTGTAGAGAGATGCTGCTTATTTTATAGTGAAGCTGTGACATGCTTTCCATTGCTTCATGCTGAGTTCTATTAAATAACGAGGTAGAAGGGAGGGAGAAGTAATTAAGTTTATTGAAAATAAGACAACTTTGTCATGAAAATAAATGGCTTGGAATATAAATTTTCTTTTCCATTAAGATTCCTTGACATAACCTGACACATTACATTGATTGAGATTGGGGTTAGGGATGTAAGCGACTAGTCAACTATCTGATAAGCTTATGCTTATCAGATAGTCGAGTAGTGACTTGATTAGTCGCTCCCCCCCTCTTCTTGCTGTCCCAGGCAGCTCTTAATACCTTTAAAAGACAGCTTGCAGGACTCTTGCTACATTTCAAAGGGAGAGGTGGCACTCCAGATGAGTAGGGACTATTTGAGTCCTCATTGCTTTTCTGCCTTTTAAATGTAGTAAGAGCTGCAAATGGCTCTTACAACATTTAAAAGGCAGAGGTGCAGCAGGATATGAGCGCCCCACCCAACCCCTTCTCTACTAATTGAGTAGACAGTGGAAATTCCATCGACTACTCGATTAGTTAATCAAAATTTAATATTCTTAGTTGGGGTGCCTAGAATAGCATTGAAGAATGTTACTCTGTGCCCAAGTGGTTCTCTTAGTGTGAAAGTATTGTCGCAGTAGACCTTGAGTCATCGTATTGCTGATGTAGCATTTTTATAATTATAGACCTTGCAAGACTAGAACTACTTCAAATATGAATAATCAGTGCTACACTGTTGTAGTGCTGCGGCGCTCTAGTCCTGGATCAGGACCTCATTGTGCTAGATGCTGTGTAGATGTAGAAAAAAAATTATTCCAGTCTCAAGAGCTTACAATTAAAGTAGTTCTTTGCTAATGTGCTCAAACTTGGCCAAGGTCTGCAGAAAGCATCGTCTTGCCACACTGAGAAGATGTAACAATTTAGGAGAAACTATATTAGCTTTTTGTAAAAAATATAAAATCTTAATATATATACTACTGTTAAGGATATTGCCATAAACAGAACTGTTAGTTGTCAGTGAAATACGAATTATTGGTCAGTTAATGATATTCATTGGAAATATCAGATGAAATCTCACTAACTCATATTACCACTGTATGTGGCATCTTCCCATGGATACACAGGAATTCTGTGAAAGAACTGGGGATAGAACCCAAACTTTATTATTCTCAATTATATGCTTTACCCATAAGATTATTTCCCTCTCACTTCTCTCTGTGCACGCTTTCAGAAGCTTTGGAGGTAGGGGATATCCTTTACTTGGTAGGAGTAAAATTCAGCAACTAAATTCTTGGGCTTCTCCTTTGACCTTATTCTCTTGGGAAAATTGGGAGGGAATCCCACAGAATTGCCACTCCTGTGGTGCTTTTGACAGTTGAACTGAGTTTTAACTCTAAAAGAGCAGTGCTCGAAAGTGGTAGTAGCATTACAATATGAAGTGAAGCCAACCTTAAGTTTCCCAATTTTTGGGACTTCATGGCTTTTTAATTATGTTAAATATATATGAGCTTATAAGTAGGGCTTGGAAAATGTCACCACCTAGTCTAAGGATAAAACTCTCTGACTGGGCCACAATACACCATTCTTCTAGCTAGTGATCCTTCCTGCCCAGTCTCC